GAGAGAGAGAGAGAGAGAGAGAGAGAGAGAGAGAGAGAGAGAGAGAGAAAGGACGAGAGAGAAGAGGGCGAAAGTCCTTTTTTTTTTTTCCCCGCTGCTCATCCACGGTAACCGCAAACCGACCGCGATGGTCGGTCGTGCGGGGTCCATTTTTTGCCGGCCTTATTTCGGGCCCGCTCGTCGCTCGCTCCTCCCGTTCCTCCCCGCCGGCGTTTTAATGCCCTGACAATGCAGAATCCCGCGGCGGTCTCCGCTCTCGGAGATTATGCGAGAGCGCGTCCTGACGAAAATTCATTCCGACTCCGCATTTCGTACGCGCAACCGCACCCTCATTTGAAATTCCATCGGCCCTTGCCCGAGGACGAGCCACGGCTGCAGCTGCGCCGCGTAACAATCTCGTAAAATTCCGGAATGGTTATTCGGCCGGAGTCGTGCCTGGAATTCTCCACCGAACAAAATGAAAAATAAATAAAGTAAATGGATAAATAAGTGGAGCATTTGAGGAGTAAATGGATAAACAAGAGCGTTACGAGTGATAAATTAAGAGAATTCACCCTCGTTAAGGATTCAAGCTTGGACCTCGCTTGTTAATCTTGCGTATCCTCCTTGCGGCGAGTTAAACGGCTGTTAATTAATACCGTCAAGTGGACGCGTGGAGGAAGAAAAAATATTAAACAAAAATCCTGCAAAAGAGCGATACGTAAAAGTTTCGGGATAAGAATAGCGGACGATAATAATTCCGCCGTATTAATCTCGGCTGCAATTTGTTCCCCGCACGATACGCGGCCGCTATGTAATAATCGCCGAGCGTGATTTTCGCGAAAAATAAAGCAAGGAGGTAACGATGCGCCATGCGATGGGTTATTGCCATCGTGTGTTTTACATCCGTCGCCGCGCGGGCGTCGATACACGGAGCGGCGCGCATTATTCAAGGGACTTTTATTAGACCGGCCAAGGCCGAAAGCTCCACTGCGCACAGTCGTATCGGGGAAGCCGACGAGAGGAAGGCGTGTATCGCGCAGCGCACGAAAGGGCTCCTTCTTCTTATAATCATAAATATCGCGCATAAATGCGTGTGTAGTGCGCGATGCTCCATAAATTCGCGATGCCGTGCGCCGACCGAAAAACGAGCCTGCCGGGTGGTAACTGTAATTAAACGCGCGCTGTCCCAATTTGCATTATTAGCGACGCTCGCGTCCTTGGACGTCCTTTTCCGATCCGGGTCCGTGGACTGTCCGACGCTCGCGCGTTCGCAGCAGCGCGCAGGAATGCAAAAAGGTCTTCTCAACTTTGATTAAGATTATTTATCTTCCCGCGGCCTCGTGTTTCGATTTAATATCGATATCGATTCGTGTGACGCACGATGGCGAATTTGTGATATCAAGCGGCGGGACGGGAATACGCCTTCGTCGATGGCGTGACGTCGGATATCGGGGAGAGGAACGCGATGGACGTCGCGAATGTAAAATCTCGAGAACTCCCCTCGCTTACGAGGGGCCCTGCACGCTCGTTCGCTCTCGCTCTCCGCGTGTCTACGCGCGCGCGCGTGCGCGCGCGCTCACGACGGACTAACGATATTTATTATACGTCGGCAATGAATTATGGGCCGTTAAGTTCGCCGTCGTGACGGGGCCCTTCGGCCCCGCGCGCCCATACCGAGAGCGGTGCGAGAGACGTATAAGCATCGCCACCGCGCTCGCTCGCGCTGGCCGGAGGAAAAACGCGCCTGGACGGCCGGCTGCTGCGCTCGTAGTACCAGCCCCGCGCGCGAAATGAAATATTTATTCCATTACGACACGGGCTGTATTGTAATGCGCTGAACCGATGGATTTTTGCGGCGGCCGCCGCCGCCGCCGCTGCAATCGGCGGGGTTATCGCGATGCGTCTCGTAAGGGCCGGAGAAGAGCCCGCGTGCGATTATCGCGATACGGGCATTGTGCGCGATTCCCCTACAAAACTTTCGCTGTGATATTTTCATCTTCCAATGATCGCACTGCACCCCACGACGTACCTCATAATTGTTCATTTTTCTCCTTTGCACCGGTGATTGAGCAGAAATGAGGAAAATTGCCGGTGTCAGTGTGCGATCTAATTTTTATTTTGGTAATTTTACTGCTCAGAACTCGGATGACTTTCTGTCGATATTGAAAATAACAAAACCGCGGAAAAGATTTGAGAAAGGGGGGACACTTTAATAGCGCACATGATAAGTGATCTATAGCTGATGTTCATGTGAGATTTGACAAGCGCAAAGATTCACCGGCGATTACACGATCCGAGCCCCGGGCCGCAACTTATCGTCGACTACGGCCCCGAGGGCCGTGATGAAAGGCGATATCTCAGTCGATCGAGTCGCCTTCGTCGAATCAGAACGCCCTGGAAGCTCGTTTCTCGAGAAGTCGCCGCCCGCGCTCGCTCGGGCTTCCGGGGAAAATCTCTCGTCGCGTTTCCCCGCTCCGCGGGACCGCTGTCGGACCCGTGAGAAAACTCGTCGAACGACGAGAGACCGTTTAATAGTCTCCCCGATAACGGTAAAATCACGAGGCACTCATCGTCGCGAGGAATCGCGAAAAATCACGCGCGTCTCGATCGTAACGAGAAATTGGCATGCGCTGAACCGTTTCGATTTTCGTCGAAACCGGCTCCGAGGTGCCGTTTGTTTCCCACTCGCGCGGTCACGCCCATCTATCCGTCGAATTGCGAAAGAAACGATAATCCTCAGGCGTTTACTGTTATAATGGTCTCATCAAGGAAATACAGCGATCCCCGTTCGCTTAGCGTTTCCCGGATGCTCGCTTGCTCGCGCGTAATTTATGAGGGATTTCCGAAATTAATTACCACGAGTCTCTCCCTTCACGGAGCGAGGATATTTTTGTAGGATGCAACGAGTCGCTGAGATAAATCGTCAAATGGTAATTCTAATGAATTAGTCATGATGAGGAGTCGGTCAAGAGAGAGATTTCGTCTTCTCTTTGCCGCGACGCGGTTGCCGTGGCTAAATCCTGATGTACACAACGATTTATTGACGCTCAATATCAGCTACTTAGTAAAATATATTGGCCTGACACTCGCATTACGCGGGATTCAAAGTGTAATCGACTAGGTAGCTAAGTAGCAGCCGTCGGAAAATCTACGATCTCGCGTTGTATCCACATATGCAAAATAGGACTCCCGCTGTTAATCTGAATGGCACGCCAGCTGGGCGACATTCCGGATCGGTCTATTAGTCCGTGACGCAATGTACGATTAATTCACGACAAACGATAAACAGAAACGAGTTTCCATCGGCTACGATAAAAACGGTACGATCTATCGAAGGATTCAGTCGACATAATGGAGGGTCTCAGCGAAGGCGACAAAGCTGTCTTGAACACCATTTTCGATCCTCTGCAGCCGCTCGGTCTGTCCGATTTTCCGAAGGAATTTGGTACGTTGACAAGTGGCAGTTGAAAACATATAACAAAGTCGCGAACAGAATATTTATAACGATATTCAATATGATAATATTTCACAATTGACGCGCAATCAAAAATTATCAATAGTGATATAATTAATTTGACGTTTAATATATAATATTTCATAATTAGAAATTTATAGTCAATATAATTTTAACTTAACATTATCAATTCGTATGCATATAATTTATCAGAAAATACGCACCTTTTTTTTAATGTTATGAGTAATGTGAAAATAATTTTTTGCATACTCTGCTTCACTAATTCGCTGCAAACAAAAGCTTATTATTTGGTATTAATGGCGACGCAACCAGCACAGTTGTTGCACTAGTTATACTCGATTCAAACCGCAGACTTCTCAGACCGCTTGAAAATTCGCGAGCGCTTAAAGCCTGTGAATAACCGCATTCGTTTGGTGCGATGTATTCCTGCGATTCACTCTCACGCGATGCAGATCGTCATGAATATGTAGGAAATTGAACGACGCAATAACAGATAAATTTCCTTGTTATCGCGCGAATCTCACAAGGTTGCGTTACACGCGAATAAATAAGCTCGTGGAGTTTTACATTGTATCCGACTTTTTATAACTCTATACGGGTAAATTAAAAACACGTATAAGTAGATACGAGCAAATTAAAAGTACGTTAACATTTTTTGTCGATGCTATCAATAGCTTTGATCAAATGCTAACATGATCCCTTCTTTATTTCATTAAGAAGAAACGACGGATGACCTCGAGGAAAATTACTTAGAGCCACACGTGTTAGACATCGTGAAAAAGGCAATTATTTGCGCCGAAGAGAAGAACTTCGACGAGTCGTTCCAACTTTTCGACAAAGCTTTGACACAAGCTCCCGAATCGCCGTCGATTTTGAACGATAGAGCGCAAGCATTGCGCTTGGCGAATCGAGACGAAGGTATCGCGAAGATAAATTTTTGTAAAATTTTATTAAAAAAAATAAAATTCAATTGTTACATAAATCATATTTCTATTGTTAGAAGCTTTGAAAGATCTGCACAAGGCGGTGGACTTGAGCAAAGGCAAAGGAAGGGCGGGTATCCAAGCGCTCTGCCAACGCGGCGCTCTTTATCGGTGGATGAAGCAAGATGACGAAGCCAAGGAAGACTTCATTCGGGCGGCCAGGGCTGGTTCGAGCTTCGCGAAATCGCAATTGGTCGCGATGAATCCTTACGCGGCTATGTGCAATGCGATGCTGCGTGAGATTACGTCCAAGGCCAGCGGTCCTTAATCTAGTGAGGGATCGTATTTCAAAACAACGATTACTTAATAGATAACGCTTTATTTTGTTTTTATTTCGATATAGATTAATCCACGACTGATATACCTACAAATATCCTGACGTAATAATAATGTCGTAAAAGTATAATCATAATATTAATAATAATAATAAATCTTAGAGAAATTTCGCATAAAAATATAAATTATTTGTCTGTAAATTCGAAATATACCATTTCTGTAAAATTGCATCTAATTCTGGCTAAAAAAGGAACTCGCGCTAAATCGGCGAACAACGAAGAAATCATTAAAGTTCTAAACCCGTAAAGATTCCTTCTCTTCCAGCTGCTAAATTATTTTTCCCCAGACTCGAAGATTCATATCTAAGAGACGTCAGAGAAGTCAGTGCATATTAATTAGCTACATTGTCGGTAGACATTGATCGCGATGCGAAATTGAAGACTTCGAGACAGTACGCACAATTTATTCAACGGAAACTGATATACGCTCGATAACGTAATAATGCATAACATGATTCTTTCATATTACACATATTACATTACACATATTTTTATACAGAGAATAAAATGCTTTATCACGTTCACGCTTTGTAAAGACAATACTTAACAATCACGCCAATCACAGAACAGTCTCTGCATGTAAAAGAATCAAGCGATTTTTCCATTCGTCGTGATCGTACGTAAATGCAAGAAATCCTTGAAACGATAACCGTTGCAGTCAAGTACTTTAAATTCGGGTATCAAACTCGAATTTAAAACGATGCATAACAGCGACCGGATTGACGTATCGCAAGCATATATCGGTTTCAGCAATGATTAATGCGATAATTAATATAGTTGTTTGTCCGAACAAACATGAAGCATCTATTGTCCAGTCGTCTTTTCCCACTTCCTTTATCTTAAACCATAACGAAATCTCGACCCGTATTAGATTTCTCGCTTTCCGAACCTTCCTCACTGCCGTCCTCCCCTTCAGCCGAATCGGACGAGGCTTTCCTCTCTTCGCTGGATAGATCTTCGATTCGCGCCTCTTCCTTGGTGGTTTCATCCGCGCTAGATTTCTCTTCTCTGATGACGTAAAGTATACAATCAGTGATGTTATATTTCGTATAATATCGTTAATTAAGAATTTAAATCGTGAAACTTACGACTGAACTAATGGAGCATCCTCAGAATCAGAATCCTTTTCTTTCCTTCTCTTCTTTTTACTAGCCTTCTTGTCACTATCGGACATGGGGCCGTAATACTCGTACTGTAAAAATTATTTCACATTATAAATTCAAATTTTCGTTACTGCGTAAGTAGAAGAGCATAACATTAACAACAAACTGCTGACCTGATATAACGGCCAAAAGGACGCGAAAAAGCCGACGTCAGCCGTCAAGTTTGGTAGTAGCCACAGGTGACATCTACCCAAAGTGGGAACCCACAGAAGACAGAATACAATCATTCTAATAATAGCCAACGCTAATATAAATACGAGGAATCCCGCGGCTGCAACGCTCAGATAATACACCCCGTGACGTATAGTTAAGGGCCACAGTGGGAAGAGACAGACCCCTATCGCACCTAAGACTACGAGAGTGCCGAAGAACCAATAATATACAGGAATTGGCTCATATATCCACACATATGCATCGTTACCGTCCACAAAGTATTGTTCCATGTGCATTTCTAGTCTCACCTGCAATTAAACATTTTTCGTTGAAGAAATAAGGAAAAGAAACGTATGATTTAGACAACGCAAGTAGATTTTCACGCTTACTTTTGGTTTCTTCTTATGCTCCTTCCGTTCGTCAGTTTTCTCTTCGCTTTTCTCATCCTTCACCACAGCTGTATCTTTACTTTCCTTGAAATCTTCCTTTTCTCCAGGTTTTTTGTCCTCTTTCACAGTCTTTTTCTTAATTCCCCTCATTTTGTTGAGCTCCTCCTCTGAAATCACTACCTTCTTGGCTCTGTGAAAGAATTTGTGCCTTAGCATCAGGTCCAAAAACTGAGAGGCCTGTTCACGGTTTTCGAACACTGTGCTCCAGGGTGAATTTTCCAGTAAGGCATCAACCGCACGCGATCCAGTAAAGTATTCGACATTGTGAGTCCTATCGAACTTGGTCTTCTTCGACGGCACATTATTGCGGATCCACTTCGCTACCGCGTATTCCTCCTTGGACGGTTTGTCCTGAGCAACCTTTGTGTCCAAACTGGCTACTTCCTGTTACAAACATAATAGACCTTCATGAAATCTTTGATCAAAAATATTCGATGGCAGAAAGAACACGTCGAATCTGACTGACATAAAGAAGAACGCAAATTATCTTTCTCGATTTTTCTAGATCAAAAAATCTGTGTGAGATGCGTGTCTACGTCATCAGGAGCGGTGTTTATTGGCGTCGACACTTCGCGAATAAACGAATTGCGAGTAATCGTACACGGCGAAGCGAACCGCGCTTCGTTTCGCTTTGGCAGGTTGAAATAACGATCGCGGGACGCAATACATCGAAATCTTTGCCCATATGCGATGCTTACATCTTTGCGTTTCCTGCTTTTCCTGCGCTCCGCCATGTTGTAAATTCCGTGTCACGCTTGCGCGTATAAATCCACTGCTTATGCTGCCGGCCGCCGAAGCTGCTGTGAACTGGCCGCGTAGGCATATGCGAGAGTGTCTTTTAAATAAAGATCGTTTACGCACGCAGAAGTTGTCCTTTCAATGTTATTGACGTGTATTTATTCTTCTCTTTGTTGTGCGAGATGTCAGTCGCATTTGAAATACAGTACACTATTTAAAGTTTGTTCTGATTTACAGAAAAACAACAGTATAGCACCAGCGCGTCGAGAAGCTCAGTGATACATCTGGGAAACTAGAAATACTCTGACATCAGCGATGTGACTCGGTTGCTGTCAGTGGAGCCTAGGAGATAATTGAAGAGCGTTGACATTGTCGACCGTTTTGACGCGCATAACGGTACGGATGTTTTGAGTCACTGTGGAAAATAATAATTGATTTACAAAAGATATTTAGATATTCAGATTTTAAATTTCAAAAAGGTAAAAAAAAATGGTCACAAAATACATAATTAATATTAGATTATATAGTTGATTTTTATGATGATTAAATGACGTCTCTTATTAATTATTTTATACTGTTAGAGATTAATTTATCTTACATGTTTATAAACGCAGCAAAACTATTCGCAACAATCGGTTGCACATTTAGTAATATCTGGTGCCTGCAGAGTCGCTGCGGTGTTCTTCTGTTCTGTTCTTTTCCATCTTGTCTCAAATGCTCGTTAGAGGCGCTCGTGCTTTTGTCTCGTCGATGCTGTTGCTCACTGTTGTTGCTGGTGTGTCCTGTGTACAGGTCGCACTGAATGCGTGACTGGTACGAGTAAACAAAGTGTGTATTCGGCGTGTATCACCGGATTTATGTACGGCACGAACATGCGCGAACGCGAGGAGTTCTCCAGGTGTTTCCCGCTGAACCAGCCGATCCAAACCGTGCCACCGTTGCCACGAGCTCCAGGTCTGGACGCTCTGCACAGTCTCTGCAAGCAGATTTACCCGGATCAGGGCAATCCATTGACAGTCACAGCAGTTGTGAAGTATTGGTAAGCACGCGACGACGTCACGCATGAAAAATGAATCGCGCTGATGTCAGTGCTGATGTCTTTGTATCAAAAAATATAGGGATATCGTTAATTTTAAGGATTTTTAATATTTATAACAATTGCTTTGCCAAGTAATCGATTAATTTTTTACCTACAGGCTCGTACTTTGAAACTTGATCCAATTAATGAATCTTATTTCAATTTTAAATTTTATTTTCCAAACTAATGTTTAATTGATTGGTTTAATTTTTGTTATTTATAAAATTTTTTTTTAATGTTATATGATTAAAATTGACTGCAGATTATTCAATTAATTTTGATTGAATTAATGTTAAAATTACTGTTGAGGGCTATAGTTTCTTAAAGCACTCGTAGAAATTTATTTTTCCGTTCTTCCCTTGTGAGAAACGTCTATTACATCGACTTTATTTTTAGCTCCCCTCTTATGCATATAAAACCGGATGTCCTGTCGGCTGAATCAAATTTTCCGCACGTTTTCCCGCAGGTTAGGAGGTCCTGATCCTCTCGACTACATCAGCATGTACGCCAATCCAGGATATCCCGAGCTTGACGTGCCTCCACACTGGCACTACTTCAGGTAATATTTCTTAGATTTACGTCGAATTAAAAACTCTGGGTGCTCCAAAGCTTATACATTTATCTGAAACTTAAACAATTGGAGTCACCTATTCTTGAAAACAAATTTGTTATTTAATTTTATCTAAAGTTAAATTAACTGAAGAAGTCGCATTTTTTTTTAGTTTTGTAATGTAAAATCAAGTATTTCTTGAGAGTTGTGATCTAAGACTCGCGTTGTATTGGTTGTACTTTATGTAGAACGCAAACTATGGCAGATGTACGCGATATGTAGTGTAGGCGCTACTACTTCACTCAGATATTTTATTGGAATCTGTGTACCGAATGACGAATGACCTTCCGCCAAAGAGTGCCGGGTTTTTTTCCTCCGCACCGGCGACCCTTGCTTCTTCAGTTTCAAACAGCTGTCTCAATACTCCGCCGCGTATCTCTATATATAGAGATCGTGTAGGGTGCAGGAGGAACAAAGTCGTTTAAAGTGCGGGGAGTCGGAAATAGAAGCGCCGGACTTCCCCTTTTTCGTCTGCGCCGTCTAATTATACTTCGCCATTGACTACATACTTGTCGGCTATGAGTCTTTTTTTTTCGTGCCGCATGTAATATTTTGTAAAAAAAATGCGTCTTCTTAAGTCGCGCAAAATAGCGGGATTTCTACTCATTCGTCTTGTATCTATTCGCAGCTTAGGACTGTCCGATCTACACGGCGACGGCCGATTGCATCCTAAGCCCGGTCCAGGCCGTCCCAGCGGATTCGGATTCGAGCTAACCTTCCGTCTCGCACGCGAGAGGGGCGAGACGACGCCGCCCACGTGGCCGGCGAACGTGATGCAGCAATTGGCCAAATATGTTTTCAATTCCGGGAACACGCTGATGCCGGGCGACCATGTCTCTTGGCACGCTCCACTGGACGGCAGAAATGGTCGTATCACCCAAATCTTAATGACACAGGACCCGCAGCTACCAACGTCGGTTTCTACGCCCCACGGCGACGTACGTATAAAAAGGCTGAGCCCGCATCCGTAAGCATGGCTTGAGATTTGATTCTCAGACTTCCTGAAAAAGAAACCTTGTATCAGACAAATAAAACTTACAATCTGGCGATCGTACTTTCAATGTAGATAAAATCAAGAGCAAATCAGTTGCTTTAAAGAATAATTGTCGACATGCTTCTCTCGCCGAAAATAGGTCTCCTTCGTTCAAATCGTTGGCGTCACTTCCGAGGAATTGCAGGCGGCTCAACATTGGAACGGTCTGGGCGTCGTAAACTTGCTGAAAGGCGCCCGGGATTGCGGCCCGTGGTTAGTTACGAACATGAGAAGAATGCACTCCGCTATGGAGGACGATCCTTCCATAGCAGAGAAAATACAATGTGGCATCGAGAGAGACGGGTCGAACACGAGCGGCGTGTCTGCCAAATGTTGGTGAGTGTAAAGACGATTAACACAATCGGAAAACAAACTTGGATTATATTAAAGGCTGTTGTATTCGTGCAGGTGGGTGCAAATAACGAACGACAGAAGCGCAGAAAGATACAGAGAGAGAAGGAACGATTCCGACGACGATGACGAGGAAGTGGACGTGAAACCCGTCGTAAAAACGGAAAGGTTGTCGCCGTGCGAGCAGCAAGACGCCAACGCTACCGACGAAAATAGTATTAGAGCCCTGTCCGGACTGCATCTAACGTTCAACCTCGAAGCTGGCTCGTTATTGCCGCTAGCGATAAAGTTGGTTCTGATTGCAGTTGAATTTACACCGCGCGACGTTTGAGTAATTAACATAATATTGATATTTCAGAGGCCGCGTGATGCACGGCAGGCATTTCACGTTCAAATCCATACTGTCCCACTCGGCTGTCACGATTGTCGCGCCGTCGGTTACCGGTACCTTCGTGTCCAAGGAGAAGCCGTACGTCGTTCAAGGACCGTGGCTGCAAGTGCTCCTCTCGGAGGAATTGTCCGAAAAGATGGCCGAGGAATTTCAAATTTTGAACATGCCGGACAAGGTATTGACGCGCGGAATTGCTTTAAAATTATCGCAACGATGGCTCAAAGTGTGTGTTTAGATTCTTGCTATTTTGGAACTCTAAACGACGAGAGATCTGCAAATGTCTTCGATTAATCTTCCAATGATGTCAACGACATCACACGTTTTATATGTATAAATATATTCTGTTACAGATCCTATTGCCAAAAACGTTTTCTTGGCCGGAACATAATTTAGTCATCACCATCATTAATGATTAGACGATGCGACGATGCAATCTCCGTCAAGATTATTTTTCATATCGTTTCACATATGTTTAAGTTAAAGATAGCGCAATGAAAGTATTATCGAACCTCGTTATGGATCGAGTTTTCTATTTATAACGATGTTTCCCCATGACTTTTTATAACATAAGATTTTATAATTTATAAATTTTATACGCCTTTGTATGTTTAAGAGAATTGACTCGATCATCAATATGCGAAAGTAGATACGACTTGCAAAATACAGCGATATATTTTTCTATACACGAATATTTAACGTCTCTCTTTTACAAATTGATGCCTACTCACATATACATTTACACAAAAGAATTTTCAACAACACTTGTTAAGCTGTTCGACTTGGAGAGCTCAATAACATTGTTATCTCAGCGCTAAAAAACGTAAGGCAATAAAAGTGTTGCGAATTTTTTGGCGAAGTGTATTTTGCAATGCACATTGCATTGTGCTTATTTAATTATGTATATAATAGGACATAAATTAATACTATTTTATAGCGAAGCTGTATATGCCGTACGTGTTACGCGTTGTTGCAGACAATAAACGTTTATGTAAATATCGTATAAAAATGTATCCTGCAAAACAAGCTTCACGCATTTATCTTAATTATTCATTTCTGAAATTCGCCGATATCGTTTATTGTTCCGCCGCTTCGTTCTTCTGCCTGATTTTCTTTCAGGGGGACACGCATCCTGACCGTGACTACTCGCCGTCAGATTGTTATTATTGTCAGTCTGCGTCACGCGTTGCCCAAACACGTTGAACAGTTTCACGTGGGGGTTCTGAAGTGTCGACATGACATTGAGATTAGTCACATATACATTAACGAGACGTTAAGTACGAACAATAATCATTTCGATCTTGTTTTAAGATTACGTTTCGTATTGTGACATCGCGTAGTTTGGATTCGCCGTACATGAAGTGTTACTTTATGTACCATGGTGATCGAAACGATGGAAGTGATGGAAGTGATGGAAGTGATGGAAGTGGTTTTTCAGAACCGTGATACTTATGACGAATTATTCTCAGGTGAGTTTTGCGCCTTAATGTAAACAATTTTAACAAAGTCGTTAAACGTTCGCGACATCGCGGACTTGTCGGATCAAAAACCAGATAACGCGCCATGCGGATCCCGCGAATCTCGAGATTGCAATCGATGAGAGCCGAGAGGGTAGTCTACAAAGCAGTTTACCTGGTTTTTGCACCGTAGTCTTCCACGTCACGTGGCAGCGATGTTCCCCGCGAGACACGCGCACGGACGATTTAAAGCTCCTGCACTTCGCCACGGTCGATGGATCTAGAAAGCAGGGCATCACATTTGCAGGAGGTCGGAAAGAGAAATGAAGTGATAATTCGATACAAAACGAGATGTACATTATTCTATTTACATTTACTGACAATTATGAGACACTTGCTATTAATATCTCCCGAGAATTTTTAAGAAACGTCCCTTTTTGGTTTCAATTAAAATTTTAATTGGCTAAAGTTGGCTGAAGACATTTATTTTTTAAGACGAGTATCTCGCCTGATAGCTCTTTATATACCTTTTATAGAATTCAAGACCGAAATAAGCATGTTTACTAATCCGAGAGCGATTCTTAATCGTTTGAGTGTCGCGAATCGCCGTTGATAATAACGATTATCCTAAGATACGAGAACGTTATATATACCTTCTTTAGAATGTCCGTGAACATTTTAACGGCCCCGGTGCATAAGATAACGACGATGCAGGCGGAGGCAAAGTCCTCGACATCGTCACGGCTGATGTTGCTAATCACATTAACGATCCCTCGGAAAACATTGGCGAACGTCTGCATCGCGTCGATGCACATGTCCCTGAAGAAGCATATCACCTGAAAATCCAGTTACTTATTAGAGTGTATCGTCTTTTATATATTTTAAAATTATATTTGACGGATGCTAGTTTTTTTTTTTTTTTTTGTTAAAAACATGCCTCTAAAGATTTTTACTTCCTTCGAATTTTAATTTGGAGAAAAATGTTCGCAATTATTATACAAGCAGGCTGTCACCTGAAATATTAAATTCATCACCGCGAGCATTAGCTCAATTAGTCTCTCTAAACAGTCAAGTATGATGATTAAGATGAGTTCGACGGTTTCCCAGAGCCAGCAGACGACGCGTGAGAAGAAATTCGCGAATTGATCGGAAGCATTTGACATCTGGCTTTTCATGGTCGATTTTCGCTATTGTACTTCAAAATTTCACAAACCAAAACTAAGGCCATCGCGTCGAACACAAATAGATCGATCAACTCGGACGAAATAAAAGACGATGGGAATTTCTATCGCTTGAAATTGAATGCATTTTATGTATCGCGATAAGGAGCAGGAAAATATGGGAAAATATCTATTTAACAATTTTCAGATATGCTTTATTGATATATCAAGCTTTAATTATAATCGAAGCATCGTACTGCTTTATCGTATAATTATTAGTGATAGAATAAACGTGAAATATTTAATGATAATAATTATAGCTTAATCGTAATCTGGCAGTATTCACTATGTGGTCTGTTTTATGTATCGTAAGATTTAACAAAGAATTCATCATTAATTATGCTTGCACATTAATATCCTATAACGTTTGTTGTTACAAATCACAAACTCTCGAAAAGCCATCTTCTCGTCAAAATATTCCATTCTCGAGCGACAATCAATCACACTCGCAATGTAGAATATAAATTATGCGAATCCCGCGAGGATCGGCAATAGTAAGGCGATCAGCGGCGCGAATATCCTCGACGACGCGTTGCACGCGTCCGCATCGCTGCAAGATTGCACACACCCACGTACGTACCTGCGAAGCATATACGTCAATGTTTAAAGATAACAAATCTACTTTCGGTCGCTACTTTTTCTCCAATAGATCTTAGCGTACAGCGCGCCATTTGTCTTACTTATCGTCGAAGTAGAAACCACCGCAGTGGGACATTCTGATAATCTCGGAGTCCGTCGTCAGAGTTCCGCTGTCTAGCGCGCAGCTTCTCACCATGAGAGACACGCCGGATTCATCTGATCGAATCGATTAAATTATAGATTATCGATTAAGCAATACTTCGCACATATTTTCCGATGCAAAATGCTACGAACGATTTCGATCAAACTGTAGAATAAAGATCGAAAATATTCGAGCAAAAATTCGAGATTCCAATCACGTTCTAGTGATTTATATAAATTTACCGTATACGCCGGCAATCTTGATGCAAGCCGTCGCTGGAAAGAGGCCATCCCGGCCTTTTCGACCCCCCAGGCACGGCGACTCCAAGAAAGCAAGACTCCCATTGTTGTGAAATGGGTCATCGCAGGGTTTGTTGTCGCCATCGATCGAGACACACTTGAAACAGTCGATGGCCCAGCCTGCGGACCAGACAAGTTGCACTTATTCATCGTCGAGACTCATCGAGCCTCAATTCAAACGAGACAAGAATGTGACAAACAAATTTCTAAAACTCAACAGCTATGTATTTCACGCGCTTGCGACATTGTTTGGTCTAGACAATTCGTGTTATGCGTATAAAACTTTAATATCGTCGTGAAAAAAAATGATCCGGGCAATCGATAAGTTGCTTGAAGACTCGAGCGGCGCCTAAGCGAGCTATTTTTACAGAAAATTGCACAAACTATACATCGCGCGTTAACGGCTTGTCCTCGAAACGAAGGTGTGCAATCCAGTTATTGATCTTGCTCGCGCGAGATTCGCGGATAGGCCTCGTGCTCCGCGCCCGATTAATCTCGATATCGCGAAGAATCGGGAGAAATATTGTCGGAGCAGCGGCACCTGAAATCGTGCTACCGACCTGTCTGGAAGAAGGCGAGGATGACGAGCGCGAGGCGAACGATCCGAGGATTCCCCGCGTTCATGCTTCGGCGACCCGGAGACGCTTGTTCCCGGTGGAATCTCGCACTCTCGTCGACGTCAGCTTCTACATTCCGAACAACACCGTGCGGATTCCACGCCGGCGATCATCTCAGTCGCGAAACCGACGGTCCCGAAGCGCGCCGGTCGAACGTCCCGGATCGAGATGATCCATAGAACGTCAGCCTGATTGGCGAGACAGACTACTTTCTGCCGGTGACGTTCGTCGACGTACTGGACGACGTAGTGTTTTGACGGCCGGTTACCAAGGCGATCCGCGGCACCGTCGTCGTATAGACCTCGATCTCGCCCTCGCGAAGATTTAAGGAGTGATCGATGACTTTGGACGACCGTCGTCGCCGCTGGCCAGCGGGAATCAATACGTCTTCATCCTCCACCGTCCTCGTCGACCGTGTGAGGTCCGGCTTTATGCACCACCCTGAGCACATTACTCGCGTGATTCCGTCTGAAGTCGCGGGGCACGCACTCTGCGGCACGCGAATAGTGGGTGTAGTTGGGATTTATGATGGCTAGTACAAAGTTAAAAAAAGTACCGACAGATGTACGTTTTATTCTTCGTTCAAATAATTCGCTATCTTCAGGAAGAAATATTAGACGATGCCCTAATAATGAGATACAATATTCCCTTACGCTGATGTCTTTGGGCTCGAAGGTTTAGATATTCTGAAGTGACATCGGTGTTCCCATTTCTCTCGGTAATGTTAAGGTCAATAGCGCAGCAGAAAGTCTATGACACGAATGCTTCAAATTCCTTCTCGAAATCTAGCCGTATTATATAATACAGAGCAATTAATGTGTAATTAGATAGAGTATTTTAGAATAATCAGAAGATTATTTCTTTAAAAAATTTTACAAATAAATTCAGTTCTGTCATTTAGTTTAGCAAATATAAAAAAGTTACATTACTAAAAAAAGTATATAAAATTTAAGATATTTGTTGGATCGCATATATATATTTGAAGAAATTATTCCTCAATTGAGATTTAATACCAGAAGTATCGAATAGGAAAAATCAAACGATCCTGTCTGATAATTCTGATCTTTTCAGTAAAACAGGACGAAATGAATAAAGAGGCCAAGACTTGAAAAATACGAAAAATCGGGGAATATTATGTAATACATAATTTCTGTAATCGATAACGCTATATACAGCGCGGAGGAAATGCATTGTTGCGATGGACACAATCCAAGATGATTTCCGTTAAATTAATTCAAGCACCAATCCCCGCATTAAAGCCGCAGCAGTGTCCCGCTTCTCGCCGTTCTCTGAACGCGGAAAAACACACGACCCAGCATCCGGCGCGGCGCGGCACACCTGCATCCATCGAGAGAGAATCAATTTCGGCGCTGCGGCACCGCTCGCGCGTGTTCAAAGCGGCGCGCAAAATTGACGCGCTTGCGTACCTCGCCGCCGGGCCAATCACCTCTCGCCACTCGCTCTCGCACGAGCGATCGTCCGCCTCGTCGCTTCGTCGCCGTGTAGCGACACTGCGGATGCCAGCGGATGTACAATGCACTGTGACTGACAGTGATCATTGCCGTTGCGAAAGATGTGTTCGTTTCACGCGCGCCCATGCATCCATTTCTTCACGTGAGCCCGTGTCCGCCCCCGTACACCGCCGCCCTACGTCCCGACACCGTCATCTGCCGACGCCGCCGACGCCGACGCTGCCGCCGTCGCCGGGCCGACAACGACGACGATGGGCCAATCGTCGAGCAACACCGGGCACAGCGGTGAGTCCACGAATTCTCAAGCAGGCACGGCGTTCGCATGCCGCTTGCCGGTTTCCCTTTGACACTCGCGCGCGCGCGCGCCAGGCCGCGCGGTTGACATGTGTCAACCGCGACGGCGATCGACCATCAACGATCGTCGACGACGTCCAGCTTTGTCGCGACCTCGACAGGAGCGATCGGTTCCCCTTATTGCACGCGGAGAATCTCATTCATGGAGGTTATGTCCGTGACAAGACAGCCGTAACCATTTCCCCTTCCATCTCCTGCAATTAGCGCATCAATGAGAACGAGACGAGTCCCTCACGGGAATTCTTCCGAGCGATGAACCGGTCTGACGATACTTGATCACGACACTAAGAATCGTCCGTGAGAATAGCTATCGCTCTTGCGTCTGCTTTTAAATTCAGCTTATCGAAAGGAAAAGTTCGTCACATGTGCCGCCTTTCGTTGTGTAGTGCGTATTTCATACTCGTATGACGATTGCACGTGACAATTTTAAATGCTTTGTTGCATGTTGTCATTTAATAACTATTCATTAGAATTGCAAAAGCAGAAAGAAGTAATTAAAGTTCGTGTAAAAAGTACTAACAAAATGTGCTAGAACTAGCAAGTATTTTAAAACTAAGTAAATTATTTGTTGAATAATAGTTGAATAATATATAAACCTGACAGTATTAAAGTAGCCTATTTATAATTTAGAATCGATCTTTTCAACTTGAATTATTTCTTAATTATTCTTTTTCATGAATATTTTATCAAGGCAATAGAGTTAGTATTTAATATGCACGCTATTAATTTTTCAAAGGGCATAACTAAACGTACTGTTCACCATTACCGACGTGCCTTTCACTAACATCGTCCGGGAGCGACATCTTCGAGATGTACCTCACTCCGTTGATAACAGACTGTAGCACTCTGATATTTTTTTAAAAGTATAATTAATTGGACATAACAATTAATATTTTCGTCATTAAATGATTATTTGCGAAAAGTGCAAGTACTTTCAAATTAAAATAACTTGCATTTTTATTCAATTTATTCGAATCAATAAAATGATATCCTGCTCTCTCTGTTAGGGCTGTAAAATTACAAAATACATTTTTGTAACATTGAAAATTATTGATTACATACAGGCGGAGGCCAACACTTCTTAATTAACATATTTCTTTCGTATGGGAGTTTATCTATCCGAGTCTCTCATGCGTTTTGTTATCATTGAAGAAAAAAGAGTCTTTAACTCCAAACGACGTAATAATCCAATTGAATTATTTGTTACGACAATATTACACGCGCGACGACAAGTTGCATTATCTCTCGACAATATGCGATATTTTGTCCAGCTGCATTTTTTGGGCGCGTCTCCGCCCGGGCACACCTTTCGATTCCACTTCGTACGGTTGGGTTTCAAGGCTTGCAAGATGCTCCCGTCGTAGCTACCTATCGCGAGATCCGTCCGTCGGTGCACCTCGCTTGCTTGGGCCACAGATGGTATTGTCATATGGCAGATACACACTGGGCAGACCACGGAGGCGGTAAAACCGCGATTGCACATCCGCACAAATCCACGACAGATCCCGCAGCACGCTGCCCTCCTTCTTAATTATCTAATCGTCGTCACGCGAGCGGTTGGCTGAGCAATGTGTTTCATTTTCTTGACAATGCGCAACGCGTTTCGATTGAACTCAATTGAATCAACATCTTGACGGATAGATGACACTCATTAAACGTATCCTTCGCAACTTGAAAGTAGAAAAATAGAAACTGCAATATTCGAACGAAATGTGCATGCCGCGGCGTTGAAAAGTATCTTGTATTAAGGAAATATTTTTTTTTAAGTAATTAGAGAAAAGACTTTGAACTGAAATGACTAGATATGAAAAGTTCTGGGGATGATAATCAAAGTTTAAAGAATAAAGCGGAACTATCGTAAAGCTCGCCAAAAAGTCGCGAATATCGCGCGCGCTCGAGATTCGTAGACGACACTTCCGGGGAAGGGAATTAACGAGGAAGAAGAACCGTAGACGGTGTGTGATGGCTCGGGTTCAGGACAGCGACCCAGTTCTCATATGTATTTATACCGAGAAGACGCTATGCTGGCTGCGTGTGGCCATTTCGGCGACGCAAAGAGAGAAAGAGGAATTACACGGCGGCGGGGGGGAAAAAAAGAGGCGTCTCCGTGCGTCACGAGACGCACTATTGCGCGAGTCTAATGACTCTGGAAATTCAATTCCGGTCGCGTCTTGTAGCTGCACTTTGAGATAATTTCGTTACCGCGAGGATCTATCAGCGTTGAGGAGTTCACGAGACACGTGATTGCGAAGTTCGGAAGGTAGTTTCCAGTTTGTCTCAAGAATGTCCAATAATTATTCCGCAAGGATAATTGAACCGCACACAGTCACTTGAGCTTAGCAAACCCATGGACCTGAGCTCACACACTGCGGCCATACACACACTTGAACTCACATTGACACGTACAGTAATTAAGAATTTTAAAAGAGAAACAGTTTAAAAGTATGGATTAGATTACTCGGTTAATGTACATTAAATTATGTTGTAAGCGGTGGCCAAATAGGCATAGCTTCTAACGGCCTTTATATTTATATTTCAATTTAAAAAATGTCCAATAATTATTAAATTCCGCGATAGACGATCTATAATTCGCGATGGAATTCGAAATAGAGATTTATCTATCACTTTATGTAAGTCAAAACATTTAAAACATTGGAATATAATTATAAAATATGTA